GTCCAGCACTGACAGCAGCGAGCCTAATCAAGTCATTCCATAGACGGGCAGTGCACTGCCCAAACGAGCAAACCCTCGAATGGACAAGGGCGCTTCCACCATGGCATAGTCCAGAACTAATGGAAGCGCGCCTGGCCAGGTGACACCATAGGTCAGCAGAGGAAGCCCCGTTCATGCAAAGCTGCACATCAGGGAAGAGCTGCCGGAATGGCCAGGGTCCAGCACAGGCGGTGAGCTACCGAGCCGTGCAAAATCGTAGGCGAATGTGATGAAGCCGTGGCGTGCAAAGTTTGCAACAGAGAGCGAGCTTGCTAAGGTTGCAAAGTCCTTGGCGGACATGGAGAAACCGAAGCGCACGATTCCAAAAACCGGTAAAATGCTACCTAGTCGGGAAAAGCTCGCAACCAAGGGGGAGCTGCCCGAATAGGACTTGCCCTCTACGGAGGTTGACTCACCAAAACGGACAAAGTCTTTGACTGGCATGCCCTTTCCGAAGTCCACGTGGTCTGCCACGGAGAGGGTGCTGCCGAAGCAGACCCTTGAGTAGACAGAGAGTATGCTACCAAGGACAGTTGCATCGAACACTGACAGGCTGCTGCCAACCCGTACATCGGACAAGACAGAGAGCGTGCTGCCAAGCACTGCTGTGTCGAAGACCGACAGGGTTGACCCGATTTGCACCTGGTCAATGACGCTAAGGGACATGTTGAAGAAGGCCTCCTGCTCCTCGCGGTTCAGTTGCTTCCACCCACGCTCTTACAACTGTGTAAGACCTATAGAGTTGTGTACGAGGGCAGAGCAGGCAACGGTCAAGGAAGTGGCATGAGACCGAGAGTGACTTGCCTGGGTGATGACCATGTATGGCGTCTGCCCACCAAACCTTTCAGAGAAGATCACCTGGGCACATGGTTGACCTGTTGTGTGTACCCGGTACGGAGCAGCTTCATGGCACCAAAAATGTAGCTTCCAACTCGATGCGAAGGCAAGCCTCAACGGTGGGTCAGCCTGAGTGCAGTACTATGTCCATGGGCCTCTGAACGGTCTCCACCCCGATGCTCCATTGCCTTCCCAAACCAAGCACAGTGAGCGATGTTGCACGCCCTATGCTTGGCAAGATGGCGGGAGTGACAGCAACAAGCTCATTGCCTCGCCCCCTTTGATCTGAATGTGAGCTTCGCGTCTTGGTTGAAGGAGGGATCTGTCAAGAGGGTGGCGCGCAACGCAAGTCCGAGTCGGCAAAGTAAGCCGCATGGCCATAATGACGGCCAATGATGGCCATAAACTTGCCAGCTACACCGATGTCAACAGGACCGAGGAGTGTAACCTCGCCCTCCCGAGACACCAGCACCCTGGGAATGCGGGGAGGCTTGCTGCCTGTGCTTGAAACAGCGAAGGCCCTCACAAGCTTAGCATTCAGAACCTTGATGTGATGGCGGCTGCTAGTTTGGAGCCCTAGCTTTTTTTTATCAGCACTCAGTATGCCGCATCAAAGAAACAACTTGAGAGGTGCTTACAAAGGCTCGTATGGAGTTTCCGGTCGGATTTCAACCCACGAGGCGCCGTTGACTGCTGATTTATCCGACCCAGAGGCCCGAAAACGTCGTTGCTGATGCCATCGCGAATCGATCATTAGTGAATCGTTGGCTTAAAACTTTCCCTTGCATGGCTCGGTCATCTCGCGGTTTGCCAGGCTGCCAGAGCTGTGACACTATGTGGTTGAAAAGTTCGTAGAGACATAAGCCGGGGGAGCCAGAGAAAGAGAGAGAGCGAGGGAGAGAGAGATACACACACACTCAAAAAGTCAGAGGGACAGAGATTGAACGAGGGCAGCCAGCTCCCGTTGCGGAGACCAACATCTGCGAAACTCTATGTATTTGAAGATTATCATGGCAAGCTGCAGAAAATTTCACAAGAGTCCTGACGATAAGGAGAATGCAGAAGGCAAGATACTGGACAATGTTGTCGTTGTTGTTCTCATTGTCATTGCAAGTCCATGTAGTAGCACTGTGGAAAGGGCTATTCATCCTGCTTTATCATGAAGAATATCGCACTTCGTTGATTAAGGAACCCGGACCTTCCCTCAGGTGCATGAATCAGACAGCCACCTCCGAATACTGCTCAAAACGAAAACCGAAGTCGCCGGCTGTTGTGCCGACTTAGCTTGACGGAACGGGGTTTCGTGCAAACCCGCAATATTGATGGCAACCCCGCCTCAACTCGAACACTCCCATCATGTCCCAACATCTGCGAAGTCTGTGCTTCTTGCTGAAAAACCTTAAAGGTCCTCCCACCCCCCCGAGAGGGCGCACCACGCATGGACGTTCTGAATGAAGCAGAAGACCAGAAAAAACAGTGTTGGCAATTTCCTCGCAGGCACGAGCATGCATCGCACAAGAAGCTTTTAGGTGGGGCTAACCTTCAGACACAGCGGATGCCCTGCATGTCATGGAAAACGGCCTATCTTGAATCCTGTGCTTGCTTCTTTGGGAGTCGTGGCCTGCACCATTGGGATGGGCACACATCAGCGGCCCATGCCCACATCTGCGGCACCTGAAGTGAAACGGGCTCTCAAAGTTGATGTCTTCCACCTACACTGCTGCCTTCCTAGGTGACTCAGAAAAAATGGAGATCGGAACCCAAGAGCTGACAATGGATTCGCTGATCAATGTGTGCATTGAGAAAGGGAGAAGAGGAATCTATCCAGCTCGCATCCGGAATTAACTTGCTAACACAAGCACCCATCGGCCGCCTTCAAGAACGCGCTAGAGTTGAAGAAGAGTGTGAAAGATCACCGCGTGAATGCTCCGGCAGCCTGCGCCCGCGGCGTCCAAAGTCTGCTGCCTGATTTGGTGCAGGACCTTAGAGACTCGAACACAATGAAGTGGCCAAACTCAACCTTTCTCGACTGGCGCGCACCACACTCCGAGACGCGTGCTCATGCAGCGAATGAGTCCTTCATGGTGGGCGTTTCAATGCCCAACTCGAGCCCAAAGTTTCAGGCCGGCTTTGTGCTGCACCGACCGGAACTCTCGTGCACACTTGGCTCGGCAAGGACGGACCCCGACCTGCATCACCGCCGCTATGTCAGCGCCGTGAGACTTGAAGTCTGTTACACAGAAGGGTCACTCGGAGTCACTTCTCTTGCACAACCCACCATATGTATACCATGCACTCCCACGAAGCGCGTCAGCAATCCGACAATTGCCACAGATCAATGTTTTGGAGTCATCTGTACTGATGCAAAGCTGAAATTTCCCCGCCGCTTGGCAGCTTGAAAGATATAGGATCGAGTTGGCGGAATCCTTCCTTCCGAAAGCGGCAAATGAAGGGTTCTCGTTCGAAGATCGCGTCCTTTTCGCTGATGTCGCCTCTGCATATGTCTTCAATCCTGTACTCAACATCCTGTAACATCCTGTTTATAATGATGCCCGGAGAAGCCCCCACTCGTGGGAACTAGGCAGCTAGGCCGGAGACTGAGGAGGCGGGTTACGACGACGCGAAAGGCCCAGCCCCTGTAGATTGCCAGCAGTGACAGGAAAACCAACGTGAATCGGATGCGCGCCAGGGTGTTTGGAGCCTGGGCCCTGGGGTGCATGTCAACGGAAATGTTGCGGACTCAGTCGAAGCTTTGCGGCGCAGTATGGCGGTGCCGTGCAATGCCAACAGCTTCATTACACACACACACTCTCTCTCTCTCTCTCTCTCTCTCTCGCACCCACAGGCACATTGGTAAATGCCCCGAAAAGAGCAACGAACTCTGCGGAGGGTGGCAAAACACGCATCTTAGTTATACTTTTTTGCTCTATATCGGAGCCTGCTGGGCTTCCTCCTCAAAGTTCCCGTCTTTCGCAAAAGATTCGTGCTGGTTCATGCTGGGGCCAAAGGTTCATGCAGGCTTGACTCCTTAGGGTCTTCGTCTTCGGTCAAAAATTCCCGCTGGGTTTGCTGCTTAGGGTTTTCGTCTTCGGCCAAAGATTCCTGCTGGGTTTACTCCTTAGGTTTATCGTCTTTTGTAGAAGCTTCGTGCTGGGTTTACTCCTTAGGGTTTCGTCTTCGGCCAAAGGTTCCAGCGCGGTTTACTCCTTAGGGTTGTCGTCTTTGGTCTAAGGTTCGTGCTGGTTTTTTTTTGACACCCCTTTTCCGTCCGCACGGTTCGCTTGGTTGGAAGGCCTGGTAGGCTGAGGTGAAGGGCCCAAGGACCTGTTTGACGGGGATTCTCCACCTTACCACCAATTGCCAACTAGCTTCAACCCCACTGGCGGCCAAGGGTTCCTGCAGGGCTTACTCCTTAAAGTGTATCGTCTTTCGTAAAAGCTTCGTGCTGGGCTTGACTCCTTAGGGGTTTCGTTTTCGGCCACAGGTTCCTGCTGGGCTTGCTTACTCCTTAGGGTTTTCGTCTTCGGCCAGAGGTTCCTGCTGGGTTTACTCTTTAGGGTTCTCGTCTTCGGCCAAAGCTTCTGGCGGCGGTTACTCCTTACGGTTGTCGTCTTCGGCCAGAGGTTCCTGCGGGGTTTACTCCTTAGGGTTTGTCGTCGATCGTAGAAGCTTCCTGCCGGGTTTACTCCTTAGGGTTTTCGTCTCCGGCCAAACCTTCGTGCTGGATTTACTTTTTAGGGTTTTCGTCTTTGGTCGAAGGTTCGTGCTGGGTTTGCTCCTCAGGGTTTTCGTCTTCGGCCAAAGGTTCCTGTGGGGTTTACTCCTTATAGGGTTGTCGTCTTCGGCCAGAGGTTCCTGCGGGGTATACTCGTTAGGGTTTATCGTCTTTCGTAGAAGCTTCCTGCTGAGTTTACTCCTTAGGGTTTTCGTCTTCGGCCAAAGCTTCGTGCTGAGTTTACGCCTTAGGGTTGTCGTCTTTGGTCAAAGGTTCGTGCTGGGAGGGCAGGGAAGGGGAGGGGAGGGGGGAGATTTCTTCCCACTGCTGTGCAGCAAGCCTGCACGCAGGAAAAAGCTACATCGAAGCCAAAAAAAGTTACATCGTTACTGCACAATCTATCCGATCTCTTTGGAAGACACGGCTTGACAAAACACACGCACACACACACGCACACACACACAGCACACACATGAAGTTAGCGACTGCATTGTGCTGCGCCATGCGCTGCACTTTTCCACGAGTGGCCGGAGCAAGTCGAAACACTCTGGCTTGGGGTCCTTTCTTGGATGCCCGAGCTGAGGAAAACCGTCATCGATTTGTCGTTTACAGGCAGTCAGCAGCCCTCAGCGCACTTAGAAGCCGTGACACCATGAACGATTGTCTCCCTGTGTGTTCGTATCTACCTAGCACACAGTAGCGTCCCGTCTTCTTTTCCTGAACGACTCTCACAAGTCACGCATGGCTGCAGAGTCGTTAACATGCAGCCCTCGCCTGGCAGGACAAAGCTAAGCGAGCTATGCCTATGAGGAACAGAGTGCACGCGTGCCCAAATTGGTAACATGCATCAACCAAAGCCTGGCGGCAACTGCAGGGGCCCAAGGCACCAGGATTTACCGTTCACCTACACCTACGCCCTCTCACCGGTGGCCAGCCGCACTCGCGTGCGTAGGGTGTTGTCCCTAGGCGGAGCGACGTCACTGCGGGCTTTCACACCGCTCGAATGCTACCAAGCAAATGATCTGCTGAAACAGCATGCCTAATGCCAGCTCAAGTTTCATGATGCAAGCAAGGCACCTTGACCAGTTCCAAGACTTGTCAGGGTCATCCTTCCAGAGTTTCACGTGCTTGTGGAAAGCTTTTCTTGTACAACCATGCGAAAAATCCGAGGCGAGTAGTAACAACAAAGCTGTCCTTCCGCAACCAATGGATGCAGTGACATCCGCGCGTTTCATCCAGCCGGAAGGGCCTCCACTCGGGAAGTTTCACAAAGGACTTAAACGAAGCTGACCTGGCTCTGGAATCTGCCATGCTTTGCATCGGTGCCCCACCCAATCTGCAGCGTATCGTCGGGAGCAACCTCGCCGCAGTATGGTTGGTATGATTGAATACAAGCTGTGCAAAACGCGCACCCTGAGAGAACCTTCGATTTGTGCAGGATCCTCCCTCGCCCCTCCCCGCGGCAAACGTGGCATCGGCGCACCCGCACTCGGTCTCGGATTCGGGAACCATCTGCGTGTAGTCCCTTGACTTCCCCATCTGGGGTGACGTGCCTCGAGAGACGCAGGGCTCTGTGCGCCTGAAGCCTTCGGGCCTCTCTCTCGAGTCTAAAGATCCTTGAAACTGCCACAGCCTACACGGCCTACACGGCCTACGCGGCCTACACTATCCGCTTTGCGTCCGCCATGGCTCCGGGCCAGATGATGCCATTGGCTGTTTGAAAAAAGCCTCGGGCCTCGGAAGAGTGGGTGGTTTACACTGGCTGCATCTGGGCAGTGTTTCCATTGGCCACACGACTCAGCATCAAGTTCTCAAAGGTGACTTGGCTCCGGAGCTTTCTGAATGCGAGTCTGGAACTTCTTGGTCAGCACCTCTGCGCAGAGGGATGCCCTGCACTCAAAATACCCGAAAGAAGAAACTGGCAGGACTTGTCACAGGGGGACCCCCCGGGTCCCCAGGCGTCTGCTTCATCCAAGAGCTTCGAGAACTTGTCAGCTCCCAGGCGTCGATAAAGCAGATCCTGTGTGCTGTCATGGTCGTGGCAACGTGGCAGAGACAGCATTGAAAGGAAGTTAGTTGGTTTCTACGCTGCACTTTCAGTTGCTTCCAGTTTTTCTCGTCAAAACGCTTGGCTGCGGGGATTTCCCCTTTTGGTGGACGAGCTTCGCTCGCCGAATAGTGGAGTGACCGTTTGGCCACCGCCGTGAGGAATCTTGTACTACCAGGAACTCGTGCTTTGCACGAGTTGAGATGCTCTGCCCACTTGTCAAGCATGTGTTTGCGGATTTGATGATGCATCTGCCGTGTTGAACAAGGAAGTATCTACGTCACCCCCACTGTCCGAAATTTTCGGGTCAAGCCCCTCAGGCTGCGTGCTCGTTACTGTTGAGCTGACTCATGGTTAGTGTCAAGGCAGATTGTTGTCCTGGCGCCTGGAGCCTTTGAAGACTCGAGTTGGAATCTCACATTCCCTCTTCGACTGTGGAAGTCTATTGGATTCTAGATCCCCACTCCGCATCAAGAGAGCCCAGACCATGCCAAGCACAAGTTGATGTTTCTAGCGTGTTACGAAAATGCCCTGGCCCCGGCGTACGCTGGGGCACACGGCCGGATATTAGCCAAGCGCTGTACACACAGCAGAAATAGCATCCTGCCGGGCTGTGCATGGGGAAGCCCGCCACGAATAGAGTACCGGCTACAAGCTGGTCTTCCAACAGAGTAGGTTTGAGTTGGATTCTGCGGCTTCTCACCCGGAAATTGCCTGCATCTAGCACCAGTCAAACAACATGCAGCCGAGAGATAAAGAGTCCGCTATCCCTGAGAATAAAAACACTCTGAAGGTCCGATCTGCCGCGACAAGTCGAGGTCTATGGCCTGGCAGCCAGGTCCCACTTTGGTCCACGAACGTTGCTTCAAGGACCCCTGCCTGCAATCATGGTGCTATGGTGCGCACAAACAGGTGCAAACCTCCCAGCCAGGGCATTGCATGCACATCGAGACAAACTTCAACTTCGCCCAGCACGGAAAGGGCCGCGCTCTCCGATTGGCTGAGAGGCATCGGCCTCAGAGTAAGGACTCCCTCGCGCTCGTTTTCGTTTGGGCCGGTGAGGAGAGTCCCTTGATTGATGCCATGATCCCGTTTCATCGTCCTGCCGTGGTTTTCGACGCTGATTTCTTCCGATGGCACACAGAGACCAAAATGCCAACAGACCCAAGGCTACACAGTGCGGACGGCCCGAGTTTCCAGCTTTGACTTAATCCAAACTTCAGTTCGGCACGATCGTTGCTGACATTCCACCTCTCCCAGTTATCATCCACCTGCCTGTGCGAAAAGCTTTCCCTTTCGGATTTTGCGCATTTTCGGGCTTGCCACACTTGAATCTGCTTAAGGCGGCCACTCCTTGTTGGGTTTATCTAGGCTTTGTTGAAGACACAAAGAATTGCAGGATTCACCCTTGAGAGTTCGTCATAGACAAGTTCCCCGATGCTGGATGTAGGACTTGGGCTTCATCACTGTCTTATTTCTGCATTGCTGCTGTCCGGATGCTTCTAGTCATGCGAGGGGTGTCGATTCCGACCATTTTTGAGAGTCTGTTTCTGAGTATGCCTAAACCCTAAACCCTAAACCCTAAACCGTATTGGTATTGGTTTTTATTAGTTTTCTATTGGCTTCTATTGGTTTTCTATTGGTTTTTATTCGTTTTTTCTTTGATCATCCATAACCCTATCCCTCACAGAAAACATGATTTCACAGCGGGGCTTCAATGCATTGGTCAGGAATAAGTCCGAGCAGTCTGAGGGGGAACAACTTTCTACCCCCCATGACTGCGTCAACGAGCATCGCGAACTCCCCGCACTCATCGCAATGTAGCCTGGGTCTCGCATCGGCCGCGGCCTTGACAATTCCTGAGAACCCTGGCCAAGAAGATCAAAAAAAACTTAGGTGTGTCGGGACACACTCGGTCTCTGCGGGACGGATGGGCGGGAGAAGAAACGGAGCACAGGCTTGAGCTGACTGATTTCACAGCGGGGCTTCAATGCATTGGTCAGTAATAAGTCCGAGCAGTCTGAGGGAGAACAACTTTCTACCCCAACGCTGATATGCATGTTCACCCCAACGCTGCGACAAAAGTACTCACAATCTCCATGTCTTGACGAAACACAGAGAAATCAGGGCGGATACTAAGCGGCTGAAGCTTGCCGCAAGTGATTCTAGCAGCAATCGCGGGATCTTGGAACCCGAGACGACTGAGGGGATCTGAAACGTTCTGCTCAGAGGGGACCCAGTAGTACCAGGGCCGGCAGTGAAGCTGGGCAAAGCACAAACCTGCCAGGAGCGAAATGTGGTTGATGTCACCCACACGCGAAGCAGCTTTGATAAGTGTCTGCAAAGCCACTTACTTGGTTGTCAATGAAATGGACAACGTCTCGCCCTCTGAAGAACTGGGGAAATGACATGGCCAGTAACGGCACTGCAACAAGCTCAAGGACATTGATATATGTCTGGCGTTCCCGCCAAAAGAGCATGACATGTTCAGGCACGTCTACGCTAGCAACAAAGTGTTGACCATCGCAAACTATGTACATGCCTAAGCAGCATGCGCTTGCACATGGGGCCTCTGTGCTAGCATCAGTGTAGATCACTACAGGCGCCGCGGGGCGCGGGAACATGCGGACTGTGCGAGCCGGCATGTGCCGGAGCACGATGTCCAAGTAGTTCATGCTCAACCTGAGGGGCTCAGTGATGGCATCAGTCTGCTCCCAATACTGGCGGGCAACAAAAGCTGACAAAGCGCCACTTAAAGGTTTGCCGATGAATGTGCCTTCAAGCCAATTGAACAAACCGCGCAACTTAGCTGCATCAGCAGGTGTGATTCGATGAGCATCACTAAGCTGCTGGAGCAAGCATGTTGCTTTAATCTTCGTGGATGGTGCCGCCGACAGGTGAACGATCTGTCTGCGAGACATTTTCGTCGCATCTGTCAAGAGTCCCAGAAATTTGGCACAGAGGGACAAGCGCTGGCGCTTCGGATGCCCCAATTTCACTCCAAACAAAGACATCGTGCGAACGAAGACAGTTTTGGTGTGACTGGCCAGCGACGAGTACTCAAACTGAGCATGTCGTCGAAGTAATGGCCACACACCAAGAACAAGACCCTACGCAAAGTTGCAGTGAGCACTTGCGGGGCCTTGTTAAACTGGACTACAGCACTGGCAAGCCCGAAAGGGAGGCCATAGAGCTGTGAATACACTCGCTGCTTGGTGTGAGGGTGCGCAAATGTGACAACTGACACAGGAGCACGTGCCTCACAAGCATGCAGCTGCCTATAACCTTTCCACATGTCATCTGTACCCACGGCTATCTGCAGCCATGGAACCATTCGAAACAGATCATCAGGCGAAACCTCTGGCTGCACCTGGCGGAGCATTCGGAGAGCAGGTTGCGCCCAAAACTGAAGCACAGTCGCTGGGAAATCAGCGTGTTGATTGACAATGGTTTCAACGAGCTGTGAGCACTCGTTGTGGTGCCCAGCTTTCCCATCGTCAATGGGTCTTTTTTTGTCATGCTGGTGGATGACATGACGCTTCAAAGGCCGCCACGCTCCTTTGCCGTACAAATTATCAAAGTAAGCTCTGTCCCTAAACGGACCGGCTAAGCCGAGCGACTGCTCCTTCTCTGTCTCTTCGAGGATCACCTCCGCGCGAGGGTGGACGCGGAGATCCTTCTCAAGGCCATCCACGTAGCGCTGCGCGTCCTGGCCCGACAGGGGAACGGCAGACTGTGGAGGCGATGAGATTCAACGAAAAATATGAGATCTGGGAATATCACCCACAAGCTCGAGGCCGCGAACTAGTTTCGTAGGGAGGTCCCTGTCAGGCCATTTCAATATGGATATGACTGCAGCAAACATAGCAGGGCGAAGACCGTCCACATGATGCACGGGTCTACAAGCAAGTAGGTGTGCATCAAGAGACTGGAGGGCCCTAGCTAGTTTACGCAAGTGGCCGAAAGCTACATCCCTGTGTCGAGCTACTTGCAAGCCATACTGGCAGGCATTTTGGATGGCAAACTGCAAGTCCTGTTCAAGCAGCGGCGAGTGGGCCAACGGGTGCTGCAACGACAAGGCAGTCGACAGATGTTCCTGTGCAGAAATATGTCTGTCGATTGGCACATCTGCAGAAAAGTCCTGTTTTTTCTGGTTTGCATCTCGTGCGGGATCATGCGCACGCAGCACTTCCCACTCGAAACCAAGTGAAAAGAAATAACTAAAATTAACCGTGTAACCGTCTATAATTGTACCACAGGATCTTGAAGGCCCAGATATAACTAGAAATTAGAAGATTATTACCATTAACCTCCCTTAAAAGGGCGCCCCTCAGACAAACACCAAGTCTCATAAATCAAAAAGGGCTCAACGTCTAGGGATGAGAACTTCTCCCACGTGTTTTGCAGCAGATCGGTCGAGGCCCCTGCCAAAGGCAGCATGCTCAAAATGTCTTCAAACCACTCTCTGGCCGAAGGACCTCCAGCAAGGAAGTCTGAAACTGCGGCCAAGGCTCCCAGGGCCTGGACCATGCCGGCTCAGGCTGACGTGGCAGGTGCGAAAGCATCGCAGACAAACACACTGCTAAAGCTGGCACGTGAACCGCAACACTCACTCGCTGCTGGTGACTGAAAGAGTTCAACAGAGCTGTATATCCTCGAGGATAACCCATCAAGACCTCCAAATTCCCAGCATCACTCCAACAGGCAGACTCATCTGCAATGCCATCCCTTCGCAACGCTTCAAGAAGCTGAGATGACTGAGTCTGATCAGCATGGAGCAACTGGTTCAAAACAAGCCGTCCCTCAGTGTACGTGGGGAGCAAACCTGCTGGTGCCTTGCAAGCTTGACCATGAGCGATCGAAATGTTTGGGCAGTCTTGCCCATGCCATCTGATGACATGCACGTTGGGATTCAAGGTTCCCTTCTCATGAAAATGAAAGCCGGAGAGGTCAGCGTGGAACTCTGTGCTTGCCACGCCTCAGACAAAACATGATGTATGCACAATCTGCAGCGTGCACGACGACAGGAGGGGCACCGTCGAGGTCTGCCTTACCCAGACCATCATGGGCAAACAGACTTGGGCAGGGGTCGGCAGCGTACCACATCTTGTGAAAAGGCTTGCAATGCACAAATGCGACCTCCTGAAGCGCATCTGCCCAGTCCCGGCAAATCTGGGATACTCGGGGGGCACTGGCTGTGATCTGTTCCTGAATTAAAACACTAGAGCACTGGACCACCATCTGCCGCGCTGCACTCAGATGGCCGGGTCCTCCGCAAGCATCGACTTGGAGGTGAGGAAAATGATGTTGTAACATCTGTCGCAGGTCTGGACAGGACTCGAAAGCAAATCCCACCATCGGCATTTCCATCAGCTTCAGGGCTTGGAGAGCCCCACCGGTACCTGCGGAGAAATTGACCACCAAAAGGAGAAATTGACCACCAAAACTGGCCTCTCTGGAGGGCGTCTTAGGCGAAAAACGGCTCTTGCAGCCTCAGCATGAGCATCAGGCGGAAAATTGGAAGTTTCAAAGTCGCCACTCGGACAAAGGCCCCTCCCTTGACCAGTGACAGCGATCAAGGTCGGGAGATGTCCCTACTGGTGCTTCGAAGTAGGGTGTCGGCAGGCGTTGTGCTGCCACGCTCCACAGAACGCGTTGTCTGCCACCTTGGCATGGCACCGATGGAGCTTCTGCTTGGGGCAGTCACGCTGCTTCGCAGTGCATCGTCTGGCGGAATTCCAATCACCGCAAATGTCCGCTAGGCTAATGAGCTTGCCAGTGGACAAATCAGTCTGCTTGCCAGATTTGTCCACGCGAGGTCGCTTGCCTGGGTTCTCCTTCTTCGGTGGCGGCCGCTTTCTGTCTGGACCGGGTCCACTGCAAGCGGAAGCACACCACCAGTCGAAGAAGTGGCACACTGCCAAAGAACTGCAGTCTTTGTCTCACGAGCTTGCTGCAGAGCCTCGCCCCAAGGAAAGCCAGACTGGTACAACTGCACTGCCGCCAACCTTGTAGCACGGTCGCGTTCCAGAAACCACCGTATGGCGGCTGCAGGTGGTCCTGGGTGAAGTCGAATCTGTTCCTTGCAGAAGGAATGATAAGAGATTGCTTCTGTCAGGGAGCATTCCGGCACTTGACTGTTGGAGCCTAGCTTGGACGTCTGCATAGCCGTGCCGGTGACAGCCCATGCGAAGCACAAGATCTCGCGAGCCTTGAGCAAAGACAAAGTGTCGCGAAAGGAGATGTCAGGCATTTCATCCTTGAGCACCACGCGGAAATCCCCCATGGCTTTGGTGACAGGAGCCAGCGGTACATGGCTGACGTCGGCGAAGCTGCGAATCTTCGCCAAGTCTTCTACGCTCTTCTGCTTCTTCCTGAACTCTCGGAACAAGCGGTTGAAAAGGTTCGGTGCAGGCAACAACTCTGGCGGCAAAGTGAGGTTGTACTTGGCTTTGAACTCGTTCTCCTGCTTGCGCTGCAGCTCCGGCTCGAGGGGTGCTTCAAAGTCGACGCTTTCTGGTGGGCACCGTGGAGTTCAAGTCCCTCCTTGCGACGGACCACGCCACTCGGAGTCGCGACAGCTGGATCTTGCTCCCTTTGAAGTTCTGGGACCGCTCTGTGTAGTCCTTGAGGCCTTCGTCGTAGTCTTTTTCCGTAAACAGCCCGACGAAGTCCGCCACACTCTCCACACCGTCAGAACCGAGCAACTTGAAGATCTCAAGATCCACTTTGTGGACAGAAACCAGAAGCGTTTCGAGCTGCTCCACTCCGACAGCCATGGCTAGAGGCTAGAGCCTACTGAAACTACATCTGTCGCTTGCTGTGAAGCCTAAATGCGCACGGAAGCAGAGGAGTTACAAGAAGCGGGTACTCCAAAGCAAAGTCAACGAGCAGTCAGTCATCCTCGTTTCGGCTGCTTGACGACAGTTCACAGCATGGAGGCGAGAATGGCGTCTCGCAGATCGGAAGGCATCCTTGAGAGACACAGAGCGCAGAACCTGCGACTTGCTTGTGTCGCTTCAGTGTGCCCGCGAGCCCAGGAGACACCAAGAGGCTTAAACTGCTTTGTAGAGCAACAAGGAGAATAAGTACCGTGCTCTGCTGCGACATGCCAAATTCCTCTGGAAGGCATGACAAAACATAGCCCTTCAACGTCCTGTGGCCAGTCGAAATCGGACTTGGCAGGAACGTGCACACTGCTATCAGGGGAGTTCGTAGCACTAGACATATTTTTCAGAATCCGTGGCCAACTCCGTCGGCACAGGGCTCCTGCTGCAGGCAACCTTTCAGCACCGCGGCCCCATGAGGAGGAGCCAGCAACAATGTTGTGGAAGATGCTCTTGCACACTACGCAGCGACACCCACGTGGGGTCTACTCCATACTTGAGCAAGTGATGGATGGCAGACAAGGACAGCCTCCGCACGCCCGCCGCTGTCTCCAAGCGCTGCGCGCTGTAGCGCACGGTCAAAGGCAGCTTAACTCCATCGTTCCAGTTTCCTAACACAACTTTTTACTATCAGTGAGCTGCAGAACGTCTGCCACGGTCGGCAAGAATCGGCGAAATTAGTATGTCGTGATTTGTTCACATTCGGTCTCGTCCAGAGACAACGGCGATAAGCGCAGCAGTGAACGAACAAACTGAACGAATCGGTGATATTTCGCTGGCGACATCTCAAAGATGACCTCTTCTGTGCCATCCCGGTAGAATGCTTCGGGAAGAAATGGCGCCAAGCCGCCAAACCTGACCTGCAACTCTGTCCGCAACTTGGAGAAGAGCGGCACCGCAGGCTGAAGGTGGGACGGCACAGCAATAGCGAAGGGCTGGCCATCCTTGCCTTTGGTAACACGCCATACCAACGACCGGGCAGAGGACAAATCTGGTGCGAACTCAGTTCTCTTCGTGTGCTTGAACCGCAAGCTGGACACAATGTATCTTAATACCAAAGCAACCGAAAGTTGCAGCCCAGTCCACGTCTCTTCTTCGCGGCAGGCCCCGACAATCTGGACCGAATGATGCCAAGCTTTGAGGGGCAGTACTTCAGCTTGTGCTGGCAGTGTGGAGTTACGCGCCGCCCGAAAGTCAGCAAAAAGAGGCGAATCAACAGACAGCTCCGCGCCTAAGTACTGCTGCAGCCACTGAAACTGCCTCAGTGCTGTTTGTGGAACCGTTCTGCCTCGCTCCCTTTGCGCAGCCAGAAAACGTCGAAGGTGTGTTGGCGCAGGACGTTCCAGTGCCAGCTTCTCGTCCAGCAACCATTGCATCAACCGCCTCCAGATGCGATAAGCAGCTGTGATGGTGCCCAGCTCGAACCTCCCGGCAATGGAGGACGCTAACGCATCCAGCCAGTCGTGTCTAGCCTGCGTGCTTGGTAAGTCTGCCACAGTGGCCCAATGTGTAGAAAAACCCTGTTGAACAACTGCTCCGACCAGAGCTCGGGAGATGGACAGCAAGGAGCCCTGATCTGATGCCGCACCAGTGCGTCGCTGGCAAGGCTGTGCCGTTTCAAGCAACGATCCCCCGGACTGCATCACCGGTGACGCTGCAGAGGGGGGCAGACCCGGATCAAGACTCGGGCCAGGCAGAAACTGCTTGAAAGACAAGGGGGCAGTACGCCGCTTGAGCGTGACGTAGGCCTTGCTGGCGTAACGTCTCCAGTATTTCGAGCTCTACAGTTCCGTGAGGTTCCAGCTCCTCTTGCAATTCGGAGATGGACAAACCAGCAAGGTCTCCGGGCAGCTCATAGCCCTGTCGCTCCAGAATCTCCGTCACCTGCGAGGCGTCAAGGGGAGCGGCCGCTGCGGCCCCATGAGCAGCCATGCACGGAGAAAAAATGGAGCACAGGCTTGAGCTGACTTCGGGAAGAGATGCATGCCAAAGAATCACGTATGCACCATTCCCTGCCACTCCAAAACATACATGCATATTGGTCTTCTATTGGTTTCTATCTGATTTATATGAAATCTATCGTATTGATCTTAAAGTTCTAAACCCTAACCCCTAAACCCTAGGCCCTAAACCCTAAAACCCTAATTCCTGGGCCGCATCACGAGCGCGCAGGGACATTGATGCACTGTCTGCCAAGCGGGAAGCCAAGGAAACCAGGAGACTCAGACGGCTCCTTTCCTCTACGAGCCTTGGGGCCGGGAAGGCGGGCGGGGAGGCTGGCTGCTGCTTCTCTCCCCTCTTGCACTTCATGACTTCCTTCATCAAGCCTTCGTTCCAAGCTCTGGGCGCCACAACATTGTGCAAGCGCTGCCGCGATTCGCCTTGCCATACTGGTGCCATGATATGGTCGTGTCAGCGCATGTCACCAAGCATATGGCAAGCATCAAGCCCCAAGCCAGCCAGGGATGCCGGCTGACAAGGGCAGGAAGTCTATGACTCCTTCTCTTTACGAGCGGCCTGCTGATCGGATCGAAGCGAAGGTGCAACAGCAAAGCTCATTGCCAAATGCGGCAGACCTCGACACCCTGCGACCTCATGGCTTTTGTCGTGACTTTGGCGAAAAAACCCGCGCGCCTGTCCACGAAATACGCTCTGGATTTTGGTTGCCTCGGAATACAAGACCCACTTTCCAAATCGCTTGAGTGTCCTTAATGCTTACCATTCCGGAAGAGTGGGCAGCTGAGCATTTCGCTGCCTTGGTTTCCTCATCCACCATCTTTTTCACCGCCTGGCCACTGTCTCGGATGTCAACAAAGAATCTCCAGAAGCTGCGGCTTTTCCCCAAGACCCCAAGACCCTAAGACCCTAAGACCCTCAACCCTAAAACCCTCAGACCTTAAACCCTAAGACCCCAAACCCTAAACCCTAAGACTCCTCATTCAACAGAACGGAGAGCCCAGCGGGCCTGGCGCTCTTTGCCCCCTCGGTAAAGGCTCTGGATGCGAAGAGCCGCCGTTTCCTCCTCCTTCTGCTGCGCTTCCTCCAAGGGTGTGACAAAATGATGGTGTAGGCTTTAGGGATCTTTAGGGCCTTCAGGGCTTAGGGTGTAGGGTTTTGCAATGTTTTGCAAGGGTTCAGGCTTTAGGTCTTAGGCAGCGCGGCCCAGGGCCCACCCCCCACTCCACTCGGAATCCTCGGGGCTCAGCGGCGGTGCCACGGCCACGGGCTCTGGCTCTGGCTTCGCAGGCCTTGGGATGCAATCGTTCGAACATCTCTGAAAGCAAAGCCCACTGCAGACAAGAGGCGGGGTTGGCTTTACTGGCTCGGCAGGTTTGGGCTGAAGGCCCTGAACATGCGGGCATGGAAGTCTTCCTGAACCCCCGCCCTGCAGACGCAGTCCTTCTTGAAGAGCTCCCTCCTGGCTGACTGGGCCTCCCGGGTGACCTCGAGAGAAATTCTGTGATGTTCTTGATGCTGGGACTGGGACAACGCCGGCGGAGCCGTAAACTAGAAAGGCGTACAACTATGTACATAAACTGCAAGCAGACCCTGCAGAGGTGGGGCGTCTCAAAATAGCTGAAGCAGAAGGACGATCAGCATGGTGACGACTGCTACGACCAGCGTGCTGTAGCCCCTGTTAGCGCTCGACGCAGGACAGGTATGGTTTGGCTTGCCCCGCCCTGGCCTGCGAGAGCCGTGGCGTGGTCGCCCTCTCGTAGCGAACGCAGGGGCTCTCCAGCGCCTGAAGGAATGCACGTTGTAGCAGTGCTACCACTCGTGTCAATTATTAGATTATTAGATGTAGTGGTGAAGGCTTGATGCAGTCTCGAACATGGGCATGCTGTCTTCAGAGACAGGTGAGGGTAGCAGAACTGCGAACAGTCTCCCGCACCTGCTCGAGCCGTCGAACCTTTGCCCACTCATCCTGCAACCGGATCCCAAGCGGCAGCGCTTGGTAAAGACACGTCGGCATGAAAGAAGTCAGGAGTTCTTTCTCACACTTGCAGGGGAAGCTGTCCTGCGTTGCAAGAGCGGTCTGTAGCTGCCTCTGCGCCCGGGCGCGGCCCACCGAGAAAGGCCTCCCGTGGCATCACTTGCCGCTCGCCCACCGGACCTAGAGGACCCAAAAGCCTCCAAATTTCGCAAGTGGAAGAACCCCTAAACTTCCTGAACCCAACCTAAGTCTGAACCCTAAGCCATCGGAAGCCCTATGGAAGCCAGTATCACCTCACGGAGGCAAGAGCATCGGGAGGCGTCTCGCGTCTCGGCGTGAACTTCTGCGTTGACGTCACTTCCTCGAGGCACGAATAACTCAATGTGCCCGCCGCTGAAAACCTCAACCTCACCACACACATACATGTGTATGCACATGTGTGTGTGTGTGTATGTATGTATGTATGTAAATATGTATAAGGTGGCACCGGGGCTCTTGGCGACGTGCCCGGCAGCCCCCGAATGTCTCTAACCCATCTACAGTCACCTACATCGCCAGAAGAAGGTTGTTTCACCTGAATTCGCTCATGCGATCGCCCTGCACAAGATAGGTAGACAGATAGGTAGACAGATAGATAGATAGAGAGAGAGAGAGAGAGAGCTAGCTAGCTAGCTAGCTAGCTAGCTAGCGATAGACAGACAGATAGATAGAGATAGAGATAGACAGACAGACAAACACACAAGCAGGCAGGCAGGCAGGCAACTATGTGTACACATGTATGTATGTATGTATGTATGTATGTATGTGTGTATGTACGTAAGTATGTACGTATGTATGTACATACGTATGTACGTATGTATGTATCATCAACACATACAGACCTACACATTGGCATTTACATGTCTATGCCTATGCACAAAAACCGCGGAGCACGATGCGGGCAGGCAAGGCCACCTTTAAGACTCTTAGGTTACGGTTACCGTTGGCAATGTATCTATAGTTGCGAGTATTGTTCTTGCTGTTGCTTTTTGCTTTTGTTTTACTCTTCGTATGGTGGCGCTGGAGCGGAGAGAACCACGTACAGAGAGATCGACAGACAGAAACAGTGAGGAATGTCTGCCTGCAGGGAATTTATCCAGCTACTTGTAAGCTTCCAACCGCTACTCTCGTTCCACTTCAGATTCCGAGCGACATAGCACAATATTCCCTAAACCATAAACCCTAAACCCTAAACCCCTAAACCCTAAACCCCATTGAATGCATCGATCAACTTGCTGCCTTCAGCCTCTGAGGACGTGGCCCAGGGAGCCTTTAGGTCTCCCAGGGCTTGGACCATAGCAGAGAGCCCCACCTCGTGGCGAGGAGCCAGGTCTGGAGAGACACGTTCTGCTACTGCTGATGATAAAAAAAGACCCTGCATTACCTTAAGGACCCTTACTAAGCTTTGGGAATTGTGGTACATTCCTATGGGTAATGCAGGATTTACATCATCAACCGTAGTTCCCTGCGTAAACCTGCTCTTGTAGGGAAGCGTAAGGAGTCCGAACATGTTCACACTAAGTGACGTTGTTCACTGGGGACAGAAGCTACCTTCAGACCAAAGTGCTGGGCCGCACCCGGATCGCCTGGAGGTGTGGTCACTACGAATCCCATCATGCAATGCTGGAAGCAGGTGACTCTCCCACTATCCTGCTACCCCGCTGCACGGCATCGTGACGCTTCGACCCGATCGGCTTGGCAAACCACGCCTGTGGGGTCACGATGTGCCGTGCGCTGCGAGAGAAAGCCCCAACGGGTGGCTGGTAGCTGCCTCCCTGGGTCACACGACAGCATTCGCAATTGCAAATGACAATCAAGTTCCTGACGCGATAGATGCTGTTACCATGCGGGCTTCACCAAGGCAGTAAACTAGGGATCTGGCTGTGCTTGGCCGTGTCGGACGGCTGCTCAAGCTCCGCCTCCGATTCTACGGAGCAAAAAGGTCTTTCAAGTGCGAATTCGTTCCGCTTGCAGGCACAGCTGCGGTGTCGTCACCCCAAGGCCATGCGGCGACGTCAAGGCCAATGGTGGCACAGGAGGCATCGCGCGCGCGCGCGGGGCCTCCAAGCTGGGACGGCGGAAAGGTGCGAGTCATTCCGTACCGATGCCCAAACAAGCCCGCATCAGCAGCCCTAGCTGGCATTTTTTGTTGTGCAGGGCGCCTGAAGGAGACAGCTGTGGCGCAAGGCTTTAGAGGATGCTTACAGGCAGAAAGGTCCTGGACCGTTCACAATACATTGAGCCGTGGGATGTTTTGCGGAATCTACATGTAAGTTAAATGCCAACTGTGGGCAAGCTGTCTCCGGCTGTGTGACGGCATATTACTGTTGTCCGAAAGACATGATAAGTCTTCCCACCTAGATCACAGCGCGTGTGGAAAATGCTGCGGCGACGGCACCCGTGCTTGCATGTCAAACTGTAGGAACTAGCTGCTCGACCACGACTGGAAGCATTCCATCCTCGCCCCTAGACCTCTACAGCTCCTGCTGTCTCACATGGGATAACTGAACAATTCAACATCACCACCCAAGAACCTAGCAGCTACCTAGCAGTGACAGCAGGCGGCCTCTGCCAAGAACCGGGCCCGTGCGACATCAATCTCGCGCACCTTGCTCCAACAGCCAAGGTTCGGCTTTGGCTTCACAGCTTGGTCGGGACATTCCGAGGCCCTCAATACAGCTTGGTTGAAACCGCTTGCGGCCTGAAGCATGTCCTCCGCCGTGACTTCTTTGGTCGCATGGCGTATCCTGCCAAGATTTAAGGCTTGACTCTCGACATGCAGCCCTGCGCCAATGCCCTGGCTCAACCACCAGCACTGCTGGAATTACTACAGTTATCATATTCAACGCTTTGGGAGGCCAATACATGATCACAGCACTTAGCTGTATTTTCGACCACGGACTTCGGCGCAGACGAACGGGGAATCCAGCTTTTGCTGGGTCTCCGAGATCAACGTGCTCTACAACTTGGACTTTAGGTGCACCTCAGGAAAAGCAGATCGCCTGGATTCACCTAGTGCCACCCACAGGGCTCGCGAGCAAAAACGTGACAATTTGACAAGCCCAGCCGCCGCTGCAAGTGCCTGCGGCCAAGGTGCTGAAGGCAAACATATCCTGGCACGGCATCGCACGTGATACCACAGCTTCCCGCTTAGTCGGTCGCGCAGACTTTCAGACGTCCTCCAAGTGCAGCTCGCCTCTGGAATGGCCAGCATCGAGCGGAGAGAAGAATTCGGAGACCTGCTCGGAGATGCACAGCTCTACGATGTCCTGCACCGTAAAATACTGGGAAGGGCATTGCAACCTGGCCTTCTCCTCGGTAATCTCGCCCAGTGAATCCCAGGACGGGTTCCACTTCCTTTGAAATGATCCGTGGCACCAACTGAACGACGAGTTCCATCCGACAAGTCTGCAGTCCAAGATGCTGCTTTCGATCCTTGTCGACTAAAACGGCCCGGATGCCTTCCTTGCCCCAACACATGTGGAAGACTGCACTACACTGGCCCAACTCTACTCTGAGCAGTTGGTGGCTGAGCCTATGGTTCCTGCACGGACCCACACTCGCCCACACCGGATGAGGGCAACAAATGCGACCAGCCGCGAAGAAGTCGGACAACGGCTGTGGGCGCGTTGTAAACCTCTGCGACAGGCGATATTCGGTCCTTACTGCAGGGCAGCAGATCGACATTCGGATTCACTTATCAACCACACATCGCCAGCCCGGCAGCCATTGATTCCTCAAGTGCGCCCACGCTACAGCAATGCAGAGGGAAGAGCGACAACCGGACTCCGGAATGGCTGTAGGGCATTTTCGCATCAACACCAGGACCGCTTTTTGCTGCCTATGCAAGCAATACAAGATGCGAAGCAACAACAGTCAATGACTCAATGCTCCAGGTGCCAGGTCTCTGGAGCACCTCGCCGATGCTCCTCGGGGTCCGCCGCAGGTCCTGCATCGCCTCACAGGCGGAAGACTTCCGTCAAGGCGGAGAATGACAATCAGAAACTCAGAGAAATAGCACTGCAAGAACACTGTAGGACTAGCTGTAAGTAGTGGTTGTTGTCGTCGTCGTAGTCGTCGTAGTGGTAGTGGTAGTAGCAGTGGCAGTGGCAGTGGCCAAGCCGTGCTAGTGGCAGTGGCAGTAGTAGTGGTGGTGGCAGTGGCAGTGGCAGTCGCAGTGGTGGTGGCAGTGGCCGTGGCAGTGGCAGTAGCTGTGGCAGTGGTAGTGGCAGTGGCACTGGTAGTGGTAGTGGCGGCAGCGGCAGTGGTAGTAGTAGCAGCAGCAGCAGCAGCAGCAGGAGAGGTGGTGGTGGTGGTGGTGGTAGTAGTAGTAGTAGTAGGAGGAGTAGCAGTAGTAGCAGGTAGCAGTAGCAGGTAGCAGGCAGCAGGTGCGTACGTACGTACGTACGTACGTACGTACGTACGTACGTACGTACGTACGTACGTGCATGCATGCATGCATGCATACATACACACACATACATCCATGCATACATGCATGCATACATCCATACA